AAGGAGGAGACGTCTCTCCCAACCGTACGTGTGTTGAACGCGGAGGTGCCGTCCGTTCGGCGCTAGGATGTTCGGTGATTTGGATCATGTCGAGTACGACTCCATCAACCCCGTTCTCTTGAACGCTTCCGCTCACGATCTACAAGGGTATGTAGATGCACTCCTCTCCCCTCATTGCTAGATGACTCCATAGATTTATCTTGGTGATGCCTAGAAAATTTTAAATTTCTGCTACATTCCCTAACAGCTCCATCATCGAAGCCACCCACAAACAACTGCAGAAACTATGGCGGCACATGCCAACAAATGGCCACACGCGCAAGCGACCGACAGCTCCGACTTTGACGATGAGCATCACAAGGAAAATATGCAGGACTTGCGCCGAACGTGCCTCCACAAACCACGGAAGAGCACCTCGGACACGCCGGGAAGAGCCGACTACCGAAGTCCACGCCGCGACCCAAGCTCATCGCGACGCCATCATCGTTGCCAAACAGAAACCAACACCCTACCTCAGCAAATCACGCATCGAAGATGCCGCCCATCGACGACAAAGATGCCGCCTTCCACCGGTCTCCCAGTCGTGGCCGGCTCCGAGACGATGCCCCCAAGGAGGAGAAAGACGTGAAGATGCCTCCATCGCCCGATCCGACGGATCTGAGGTTTCCCTCCGGAGGCAAAGCCGTGCGGAGGAGGAGCACACCTCCACGGTGACGCTTTCCAACAAAGATCACGGCACCCGCGGGCGCCGCCGTCGCCGGCTCCGAAGAGGACCAGGGCAAGGATTTCTCCCGGAGATGACCACCTGCAGCACTGACCGCCGCCCATCGACCACCACCTGCCGAGGCCGACCTCACTCCGGCCACGGAATCCCACAATCCACCATGACCAGATACACTCACCACCTCCCTGGCCGAAGCCGCCGTCAACCACCGCAGCACCACCCCGACCACCACCACCACCACAGCCACCAAAGCCGCAACACAAAGTGCAGCACCCAGATCGAAGAGCTAGTTCACACCAAATCCAGATCGGAGCCGCACCAACAAAGCAGCAGCGTAGACGAGCAGCTCCTCCACCTGCAGCGCACCTCGCGCTCCAGAGCAGCACAACCACAGCGCCCAGCCGGTCGCCGCGCCCGCCCCGAGTGCCGCCGCGCGCACGCATGCCGTCCACGCCAAGCCACGCCGGAGCCCGGACCGAGGCCGCCGCCCCAGAGTCCCATCTGCCACCCGCAGCCGACGCCTGCACCGCACGCCGCCCACCATCCGTCGCCCTCCGCTGCGAGCTCTCCCTCACGAGAGACGGCACGTGAAGAAGAGGTCCCGCCGCCGGCGGGTCCGCGCGGGCTTCGCCCGGCGGAGCCCCCCGGCGACGGCGAGGAGAGGGGAGTGAGGAGGGGGAGCGGTGGAAGGGGACTGCACCGCTGCCGGTGTCGCCCCGGGGAGGGAGCGACGCGAGGGCTAGAGTCTCTTTTCAATCAACATTTAAGAAGCAATACAAATACATGGCATCACGATTTGCATTAACATACGTGAGAACATATGGACGGAAACTTCAACGCACGTGTGCACATTTACAGGTTTATGAAGTAATAGTAAAATATGAATACAGCACATCATTTGGATTTTTTCACACATTTCAAGAAATTGATACAGACCATATGGCTAAAATGTTATCCAAGTCCAGAGGACACCAATATCAATGAAACTAACTAAATTAAGCATGTCCGTTGTCCAATATCCAGTTATTGTCTTAACTGTTTAAGTTTCTGCAACAGCAAGGTCAGTGTAGTACATACGGCTTGCCCCGTGACTGGATTATCTGCTCCAACCGTTATTGCTTCATCAAATGTCAAAACGTGTACAATGGTTGATACTGCATCCTGTTGGGATGAAGGAAAACTAATATTTTACCATGACATTTAAATTGCAGAATTCCACCATAGCTCCTTGTTGTTTCCTTCCCCTACATATGTTAGCATACATGGAAAATAGCACGGAACTATTATGGAAAACATGATATCCATTCATGCACTTTAGCTGATGTGTTGATCCTACTGATGTTTTACTTTCCAGTGAATGTGCTACACTTATGAAATAATGAAAGGCATTACTGTTGAAATTGTAGATTCATACTCATGTAGTGAATATATTCAAGTTCTGCGGTGAGGTTGGTCACTGAACGGAGCTAAAAAAATCCATAGCAATTATATTTATGCAGCTTAAAAGAAAAATATGTCTTATCAAGAGGTGTCATTAGGCACTGATCTATCAAATCATTTGGAGTCCCCAACCCATAATACTCACACATAATAACAAAAACTCACAATCTTAATCAAGTGAATAATATTATTACATCTACGCACATGAGCCGCACAATCCTATATTGAGATCAACCCCAGATTGTTTAATACATAAAATGCCAGTTGGTATTCTTACTCTTGCAGAAGTGTATGGGATGATCAAATATACACATCAGAGATTGATCGATGAGGGAGTGGGATAGATAGTTCCTAAAGCATATCAGAAAGTAAACAATACCTCTGATGGAGCAAAGTTAAGGAATAGAGAGTACGTTGGACAACATGAATCATACAGAGCAAGCCTGTGTTAGTTCATACTTTACAAAAGACATTGTCTTCACCCATCAACTGATGATAATAATCAGAAGCAGACTCGCACATTATGTTGATCAGTTCGAGCATGAGAATGGACTTCTCCATCATGTAATGGTTTAGAAGAGTCATGGTCATGTTCCCCATGCTACGAAAACTTCATATAAATGTCCTCAAATGGATGGCCAAGGCCAATGCCCCAAAACATTAGGAGAGAAAAAACAAATGGGAAAAAGGTTTCATCAACAAAAGTCTAGGCATTTTTTTCAGGCACTTATACACACAAAGTGTATAATCATACACGGAGATGGGAAAAACTTAATGCTCCCTCCGATCCAAATTAATTTTCGCAACTTTAGTTAATATGGATCGGAGGGAGTAGTGTATAGTCAAGCGACCCCGAAGGAGTTCTAGTTTACTCAATGGGATGCCATGTGGACAATGATCAATGATTCAGACATCAATGATCAATGATTTATCCAGCAACATGATCAATGATTCAGACATCTAGTACCCAGCAATTTGACAAGCAACATAACTGTTCTTCCTAATGCTTCTATTCTCAATTGATCAGAGATCAGGTTGCCTGGATCTTAAATTTCACCATCATTAATTCTAACTTTGCTTAATTTGAAGAGTCTGACGACGTAGATTGGCTCACGGGGTACTATTTCCTCACTCGATACTACTCTGTGGATGATTTCCATGACAGAGCTCTAGCTTTCATGAGTAGGCAAGACTGTTTTTCACCTATGTGTGGCGATAGTTTGCTGTAGAATATGTTGTAGTAAGACATCAACTTGTTGCATTATACTAGTCTCTCTTTGTTGCATTGTACTAGTCTTTTCTTGTTTCAAAGGATTCAGCTCTGAATTGTGTGACATTGGTATGTTGCATCCTGACTCAATGGAGGAAGTTGACAGGATGGAGATAACTCCAAGGATGACTCTAATACGGTCGATGAACTTGAAGAGGACAAAGATGACTCGGGCGATGGAAGTGATTCAGAAGTGTGCTAGAATGTCACACATGTCTGCTTTGCGTGTCAGCCAACTATCCCTATCCACCCCATATGACCTTCTTCACTTTCACTTTCGTTGTTTTTATAGTGTTGCTCTTTTTGAGAAAAAACAATTCTGGCTTGCGTTATCAGATACAGCCAAATAATTGGGTAACTGAACTCCCAAACAGAAATGATACTAGGAAAAATGATAGATTACAACCAAGACCACATGCCTTAGAATTCTTACTGAAGCCGCAACCAAACTCGTCGTCATTATACTGTACCCCCTGCAAAGACTTGTAGAGGAACCAACCTCATTGAATCTCCAAAATAGTAGATCGTCACGTACAACTTTGCCATCGTGTT